AGTTATGCACAGGCAACAAGGAATAGTGTATTTCGCTCAGAAAATGGCATACAAAGGGGGAGTTTTGAAAATCTTATTGAAAACTTGATGTGAGTGTGAAAGGCTTTGTTGGTTTAAAGAGCTTGGACTTTTATTACAGGGAGCCACTGGGCATAGTATTTGGTCGTGCAGGTTGGAGGCCAAGCCAATACCAAGAGCTGGAAGAAGGTGGATTTGGGAGTGTTCTGTGAGCACACACACTAAAAACAAGTACAGAAGGTGCCGTGGCTGCTGGCCTCCTGTGCAGCCTGCGAATTCTCCTTCTCAGTTATAATAACAGCACTCAGCCGTGTGGCACATTTTCACTCTTGGAAAGAAGTTGATTTTCCAAAATTAGGTTTTTCTTCTCAAAGGTTTTTGAGTCCTACGAGATAATTAGGAAGCCATGCCTCAAAACAGAATCTGACGTAACCCGCTTTGTTTTCACTTTCAAAGGGTGGCTTTTCAGAGCTTGTCATACTTTCAAGCTCTGCAGCAGACCAAAAAAAAAAATTTTTTTTTTTTAATTTCAGGGTAGGGACCTTGACCGGTAGGACATTTTATTTCTCATGGCACATAGCTCAAAACTGCTCATAAATAAATTAAAAAGACAAGTCCATGTCTATTTTGATAATGTTAAAATTATACCTTATTGGCAGGTTATGATGAGGGATGGGGAACCTGAGATACCAGATTTTAACAGGAAAACTATGCACTTAAGAACTAGCTCTCACACAGGTTTTGTTGATACTGCAAAACTTCCAATTGCTAGGACGTGGGCTTTTTTTTTTTCTCCATCTATTTGAAGCAAATGCTAAGTGAAAAGTGACAGGATGCTACGCCTTCAAGATAAGTCTGGGCCTGTTGGAGAAGAGTCTGCTATTACGACTAAAACAGCACTTCACCAGCTGAGGCTGGCACAACAGAGCAAAAGCTGTGCTCCACCTGGGAACGAAGAGTATGTTTCTCTTTAGAATCCCAGAGAAAAGAAAAATACCGCAGTGGCCTGCCCTCAAATTAGATTATAAATGCATGTTTTCAGTGGCACAAAACAGGACTCCTCTTAATCTCTGGAACATGATGTGCCCATAATTGCTGTTGCTGTTACCTGTCGCGCTGGATCTGTGTCTGTCTCCTTTGTCCTCGTCACATTCCTCAATGCTCCCAGTACTTCCAAATCTAGCTGGGCCCCAGCTCATCTGGGAAGATTAGTTTCAACCTCCCTATGCAGCCCACTCTTTTCCTCACTCCTTTAACTTTGCATCATTCGCCGGGTGCGAGACCACATGGCATGTGTGCTTTGTGAACTAGCCTTTCCAGGCACTGACATTTTGCCTCCCCAGGAAGGTTTAAAGATGCTTGAGGGACATAATAGCAGCCTGTCTTACTTTGCATAATACCAACAGACCAGTGAGTACGAAGTGCTTGAATTCTTCATCTCTTTCCTGAGAATTGCATCGGTTTATAATCATATGGTAAGTTTTTAAACCCAGCACCAATGTAAGGATGAATTATTTTTCCCTTGGGCAATAAATCATATAACCACTTTCCAAAGCAAATATTTTCTCAAATCAGGTGGGAAAGGGGAAAAAATCAAACTCCCTGTGGACAGCAGAAGGGAAGACCATGTACAAAAACAGCATTTATTGAAATCTGCATTTTAAACTTAGCAACTGCCAGTGTTTTAGGACAGCTATTCCTTCCGGGCTTTATAAAAACTGGAACCAGCAAGGAGTAACGGGTACAATAAAACTACAGGAATTGTAAGTTGATTCTTCAAAGAGCACTGACTACGCACCGCGACGGTGTGTGGGGTTTGTGGGTCCCGCCACCAAGTGACTGAAGTGCATTTTTTGAGGTTTAATATTAAAAGTCCTAGAAAATTCCAGGACTATTGTACTTTTAAAAGTCCTTTGCATCTTGGCCGTGGCCAAGTTTTTTAAAAAAACATTATACAATGGAGTTTTATTCTTCCTTTTAGCTCTGGAGTTCACAGACAGCTTGAGTAAAGAGAAAGGGTGGGATGCTTCTGTTTTTTTCTGTCCTCTCTTCCAATTAATTTGTAAGGAGACTTTTCTTTCCCTTGTTGTGTTCTGGCCTCTGGCCCCACCTCAGGCCATGCAGGTGCTAGGCTGGGGAAAACGCGGGGGCACTTTCCGTACCTAATTGGAAGTGAGTCCACACGCCCACTCTTTCTCCAAACTAGCCCAGCTTCCCACTTCCTCACAGTGTCCCTTAAATTTCATAGAAAGCAAGAAGAAAATACAAAATTACCAAGACAAACCAAAGAGCAAGCATAACAAATGAAAGACTGGTGTAAAAGCAGTAGCCTTTCTAAGAACTCGCAATTATCCCCAAGGGAAGAATAGAAGATAAAATGACAAATAATCCAAAACAAATTTATGTTGTACTAAAACATGTGTTCTCAGAGGTCCCCAACCTTTTTGGCACCAGGGACCAGTTTCATGGAAGATAATTTTTTCCATGGACTAGGGGAAGGGGTGGTTTGGGGATGATTCAAGTTTCTTACATTTATTGTGCAGTCAAACCTCTCTGCTAATGATAAACTGTATTTGCAGCCACTCCCCAGCACTAGCATCACTGCCTCAGCTCCACCTTGGATCATCAGGCATTAGATTCTCACAAGGAGCTTGGAACCTGGGTCCCTCACATTGCGCAGTTTACAGTAGGGTTCACGCTCATATGAGAATCTGATGCTGGCATTCATCTGATAGGAGGCGGAGCTTATGTGGTGATGTGAGTGACGGGGAGTGGCTGTAAATACAGACAAAGCTTCGCTCACCCATCCACCGATCACTCCTGCTATGCAGCCCATTTCCTAATGGGACACAGCCCCGTGTTGGTCCGTGGCCCAGTGGTGGGGAACTGCAGTGTTCTGGTATTTTCAAATTAAAAGCTGGTTGTTTCTCTTGCAGGTTTTCATTGTGAAATTCAAACTTGCTTACATTCCTTGATAATCCAGGCAAGTAACCAATACCTTCCTATTGCCACTGTAACAAGTTACCACAAATTTAGTAGTAACTTATTCTCTTATAGTTTTGAAGGTCGGGAGTCTAAAATCAAGGCATTGATAGGGCTGTCCCTGTGCCCCTTCTTTCTGGAGGTTTCCTTGCTTTTTCCAGCTTCTGGTGGCTGCCTGGATTCCTTGGCTCCTGGTCCCTTCCTCCATCCTCAAGGCACATCACACCAACCTCTGTTCTCATGGGCACATCTTCTTTTTCTCTCTGTCTCTAACCCCACTGCTTTCCTCACATTGGATCACATTGGGATCACATTGGATCCATCTGAATAGTCCAAGTTAATCTCCCCATCTCAAGATCCTTAACCACATCTGCAAAGTCCCTTTTGCCATATAAAGTAACAAATTCACAAGATCCAGGGATTAAGACATGGACTTTTCTGATAGATAATTATTCAGACCACCACAGTAGCCAAATTCAATCTGTGATCAAGTACATGTACAGGAAATTCATATAATGTACAAGTAATCAAAATTTGACTACAATTAACAATCTAGGTGTTTTAGTCAGTTTGGGCTGTTTTAGCAGGGCACCATAGACTGGGTAGTTTATAAACAACAGAAATTTTTTTCTCTTAGTTCTGGAGGCTGGAAGTCTGAGATAAGAGTGCCAGCATGGTCAGGGCTGGTAAGGGCCCTCTTCCACACGTACATTGCAGACTTCTGCCCCTTTCCTCACATGTTGGGAAGAGGGCAAGTGAGCTTTCTGGGGTCCCTTTCATAAGGGCACTTATCCCATTCATGAGGGCTCCACCCTCACGACCTAGTCACCTCCCAAGCCCATTCCCTAATACCATGACATTGGGGGTTAGGATTTCAACATATGAATTTAGAGGGGGGCACAAATATCCACTCCATAACACGGTCTTCAAGACAATAAATCACATGACAATTTAAGTTGTAAAGGAGCATATAGCTGAATTGCAGAGATTTCCAAAATAAATTCTTCTAGCCCCAAGTGTTTTTTTTTTTCTTCTTCTCCTCCTATGTTATTTGAGTATAAAATATACTCAAATATTAATTACTTCAAATTTTAAACCTGTTTAAAATTCTTGGCCAAATCCTTCTAAACTTGCTCTATTCATTTGAAATTCAATGTATAATAATGGTAATAAAATGAGAATAGGTGGATGCCAGAAAACCAGGTTTGTAGGACTAGCTCTTCTGCAAACTGCCTCTGTGACTTCAAACAAATCTTTTGTCTCAATGTGTTTCAGTGGCCTCAGCTGTTAAGAAACAAAATATTTAAATTAGTTAAAAATCACAAGAATGGAAAAATAGAGTATAAAATATAAGGGAAAATGGCCATCTAAGTTAGTGGCTTGTAGTGGAAAAATTCTCTTCAGAATAACCTAAACCAAAAAAAAAAAAAAAAAAGAAAAAAAAACTTAAAAAAAAAAAAAAGACTTTGATGAAACGTTTCAAACTGCAAAAGTGAAACCTATTCTTTTTTACAGAATTGAATTTTCATATCTTTATGTCCCGGCTACTTCTTTTTCCAAACACACTGTGGTGGTGGAGATATAAGCTCAGGAAACACTAAGCAAATTTCAACAGATTAGCAAAGGTGATTTAGATATATTATGTTGATTTAGATATCAATGTGCTATGAGAGATTACTTCCACTGATCACAGCAGCTAAGAAGACTGAGTATTAATCAGCTAATGTTTGCAGCTCTTGTGGGGGGCAGAGGTAGAGATAGAAACTGAGAATTATAAAGAGAACAAAAGGAGCATTAGTCAGATAGGTAGGAATAAGTAAACATCATAAATTAGGTTAATAGCAGGACTCTACATCTTCCTTTCCCTCCTACCTTGAAAAAAACTTTAAACTGAAGCCTAATACATTTAGTGCATATTCACATGTATTCATTTAACACATGATTTATTCAATATTAACTAAAATCAGTTTCCACGGTCTTTAAATAAAGTCCAGGATAAAGTCCAAATAAAGTCTTCAAATTTTAAACCTGTTTAAAATTCTTGGCCAAATCCTTCTAAACTTGCTCTATTCATTTGAAATTCAATGTATAATAATGGTAATAAAATGAGAATAGGTGGATGCCAGAAAACCAGGTTTGTAGGACTAGCTCTTCTGCAAACTGCCTCTGTGACTTCAAACAAATCTTTTGTCTCAATGTGTTTCAGTGGCCTCAGCTGTTAAGAAACAAAATATTTAAATTAGTTAAAAATCACAAGAATGGAAAAACAAGCACCACATGTACTCACCATCAAAGTGGTATTAACTGACCAAAACGTAAGTGCACATATAGTAATAACATTCATCCGGTGTTGGGCAGGTGGGAGGGGGAGGAGGGGATGGGCATATTTACACCTAATGGGTGCTGTGACATGAAGGGATGGACACGCTTGAAGCTCTGACTCCAGTGGGGCAAAGGTAATATACATAACCTACACATTTGTATCCCCATAATATGCTGAAATAAAAAAAATTTTAATTAAAGTAAATGAAAAAAAATCATATGATTTAGTAAATCAGAAATTGTATGTGCATCCTTCTTACTGCGTAGTAAATATAATTTCTCCATTAATGATAATTATGCCACCTAGACCACAAAACTGGTTGGACTGTGGTAAAAAAATAAAACGTAATTCGCTTTAAAAAAAAACATACTTGCTTGGATCATGTAGGAAAATACAAGAGATGTCAGTATTATTAGGTCTAATGGTATTAGGTCTCATAAATGTTACCTAGTAACAGAGGTTGGCAAACTACAGTCATTAGGCCATCAGGCCTACCACCTGTTTTTGTAAATAAAGTTTTATTAGAACACAACCATGCTCATTTGGTTCACGTATTGTCTATGGCTAATTTTAGGCTACACTGACAGATGTGAGTTCTGATAGAGACTGTCTGGCCCACAAATCCTAAAATATTTATATATATACATAAAAAGCTTCCTGACCCTTATCTAATAAAATAAAGTGATGTAGGACCAGTGATAAATTCTGTATCATGCATTAAAATCAAATAAAATTTTATAAAGCACAGTTTGATTAGTTTTCTCACTGTATATATTTCTTCACATTATAGAAAAAGTAATATCTTTTTAACAAATACTTTGTGATATATTGTTTTAGTTGTTTTGTTTTTTTCTGGGAGAGTAGCTAATCTGCTGTTACTTTTATCACTGTTAAATAAGTAAGCACATAAAACATCATGCAACAATAATAAACAATCTCCCAAACCTTAATGACTTGTAAAAACAAAGGCTTATTTCTCGTATCCACTGAGTCAGCTGGGGGTTCCATGTGTTCTCTCTCTCTCTCTCTCTAGTAACCAAGCTGACAGTAACTCTTCCATGGAGAGGTAGTCATCACTGTGGCAGAGGGAAACAGAGCACAGCAAGGGGCACAGTGTCTTTTAAACTTCCACCCAGAGTGATACATCACCTCCAATCACATTTCACTGTTCAAAGTAAGTCACATGATCATGTCTAATTTCAAGAGCAATGGGGCAGTGCAGTTCTACCACATGCCCAGAAAAAGGAAAGCCAGAATATTTAAGATGGCTATTAGGACAGTCATTGTAACTCTGCCAAAAACAATCTGAAAGAGGGATGTAATTAAATGCCTCCTGCTTGCGGAGATTCTGCACCAAAGATGGTACCACTTTACAGCATGGCACTGTGAATTCTACTGCAATTTACTGAAGTCTAGATTCTCCAGCTCTAAGTTCATAGAGTGTTGGCAAAAGCACTGAACCTTTCTTGCAAATCCTATGGCAAACATTTCTTTAGCAGTGTTAGAAAGTATTCCTTCAACTAAAATATTATTTTTTGTCTTCTGACCTGTTGGGTACTTCCAAATTCCACTTATTTAATATTCAAAATAATTCTTTGGTACTTTCCAACATTATTTCCAAAAATAGCCATTGCAGTTTGGCTCTGAGTTTTCTTATGCTTATACAGATTTACTTGCCACACATAGTGAAATATACTTTTTTAAAAATAAGTTTTTCATTATTAAAAACAACATTTAAATCATAGTCTTTTTTAGTTTCTAAAATTACTTTCCTGCATTTTTGAAAGAAAACAATCAAATTAGAACTCACAAATCATGTGCCACATTATTTTCATTTAAAAAAAATCTATTAAAGGGGAATGAATTTGGCTTTACTTAACATATTACATTTACCTATTAGTTACTTAATATAATTTCACCATACTGGATGGGCAGACATCATCAAGAAATTTGTGCTGAGATTTCCTTTTGAACATTACATCTTTAAATCATATTGACTAATAAAACTTCCAATGGTACACATCAGAAAAAGAATGTCAAAATTATAAACCATTTTCAAATCGGAAAAAAGGAAGTTTTTTGTTTAAGTTTAGTGAGATATGGAACTCAGAAAATCCATAGTAAATCCCTTATATTTAATGAACACTCATCAAGCCATGTTACAATACAATTAATGTTTAGCATGTAGGCATGGAACTATTCTATACCACTGTATACACTATTTTCTGCAACAAGGGCTTAAGGAAAACAATATATCAATAAAATATATATTGCTTTCTTGGTCAAATATAAGTTGATCCTTGTTAATGCAAGATTATTTTCAGTCTGGGTGTCTTCACTATTGATAAAATAGGCTGTGGATGGGCTCCTCTAGCTAGAAGGACCATATGCATAAGAAACTGCTTGCAGTGAAGATGACATATGTCATACCATGTGCCAAATACCATCCTAGATCTGGAAGTGACAATTTTCTCATATATACTGGCACTTGGAGCTCTGGTAGCTATGGATTTATTCTTCCCCATAAAAACTCAAATGATACTATGTGTGTTTCTGAAAAGCTTGGTAGGAGATTTTCTAGCAATTAGTTATACTACATTTTAAATTTCTTGTCTGATATACTTTAATTAATATGCTTTGTGAACTATTTTTGTTGTACCTCTGAAAGGTTAGACAGGGCTTAAATCATCTACTCTATAATCTTCAGATTTCCAAGGAACCTGCAACCATACACTTGTACACACAAAACAGATATAAACTTTCCTCCTTTATCTATGAAACTGTGAGTTTCTCTGAAAAATAGGGCTAATTCTACTGTTTCTATGTACCTTACCATTCTAGTCAATTAAAAAAAATCAGTATGATGAATGGCCAATTGCTATATTTACTAATGTCCCTATTCATCAAAATATTTGTTTTAAAAAGGCAACTACTTATAAAGCTTCTAGCAATTTATATAGGATGAGATGGCTTCTGACATTTTGAGGATTTCTGCAGTCTTAGTTGATTGATTTTTACTTCAGAATTTTGTATAGAAATTTTTCAGTTTATGCTGATGTCTCTTCAATTTTCTTCTATGTCATTTCTGCTTTGTAAAAATTTTGAGATCCATTTACCAATTTTTCAAGTAGTACATCAATATTAGTGTGTGATTTCTAGTAATTAATACCCCAAATTTAGCATGTAACATGATTGCTCCTGTCTCTGCCTAGCTCAAACTTTACCATCTTTTTAGCATGTGGAAGCTTTTCAGATTTTTAAGATTTAACCAAATTTATGCTTTTTTGTTCCTTTTTTGCTCTTTTCACTTATGCTTATTATCTTCCCACTGTTGTCATAAGTGGTGACACCTTCCACGCATTCTCACTGCCTTTCCATTACTTTAAAAATTGTGCAGGTTTGGTGTTGAATCTCCTTGCTTAACAACTGCCAGGTCAACATATCCCCTTTGTTAGAAACCAAAACTTTTTATGTAACTTGATTATTTGGGCCATTTCTGACTTCCTTCACATGTGTTTCTATTTTAAAAAACGAAATTAGATGTGTTAAATATTTCTGTGCCAATTCCTTCAATTGACACATGAGCCTTAGTTTGTGTTTCTAGCAATAAAGGTTTAAATTTCAATCATTGTGATTATTTTTGCCCATTTTTGAATATTCAAAGTTTTTGGTAAATGGATAAAATTGGGAAAATTGGCAAACTGTATATTTGAAGAATTAGCCATGCAGTTACTTGATCATTTATTGGACTGGCTTTGGGTAAATTGGCCTGCTTCCCTAGATACTGAATATTTGTGTCGATGAGTAAGATGGAAGATGTGAATATTCTATATACACACGCATGTAATGCGTTAGCATACTTTATTGCCTGTGCAATTCAAACATTTACCTTAGGTTTCAAGTATCATTTTTCTCTAGTGCATGCTGGGAAAGCAAACTTTCTGTCTCATTTCCCTCCAGTTGACCACTTGGAAGTGGCTTCTGTGGACAAATGCATCTCCTCACCATTTCCAGCTTCACCCAGGACATGGCTTGCATCAGCGTTGAGCACAATGAAAATTCCTAAACATAAGGCATTCTAGCAGGAGGCTTTTTCTTTTCTGAGAGCAACATAGATGTGTGGGTCAGATGACACCTCTCTACAAGCCTTGTGCATCAGCAGTTAAAGGAATTGCAATGTCAAAGTAGAGATATAAAGCTGAACAACAAAGGTGACTATTCCTAGATTCTGGGGGTAGAAGATGAAGCTGTGAAACCCTCCAGAGCGTGTATTCTCTGGGCCTCAATGAGTCCCAACCTGACCCCCATCTTCTAATCTCAATCAAGCCATGTAACTGGATCTTACCTCCTTCCCAGGTATTTCTCTTGCTCACACTCTACCTCCAGAATCTTCTTCCTCTAGTCTGAATTTCAGATCAGTGTCAGTGGTACCCAGGCCCAGCTGTTCATTCAAATCACCTGGGAATGTCAGTGCCCAAGACTTACCCCAAAATTATCATTTAATTGTTTTGAGGGGTCTAGCAGTGGGTTTTTTAAATTTAAAGTTCCCTTGGGAAAGGGAGGGAGGGAAAATATATAAATAAATAAATGATAAATTTCAAGCTCCCAGTTGATCTTAGAGCACAGCGAGGCCTGAGAACACATCTAGAGGGAGCTTCCCAGACATTTACACATCCCTTCACAGTTGATAGTGGTGTGCCCTGCAGTGAACTGGAAGGACCCCTGGGGGTTGGAGATGGTGGGGTGGTTTGGGGAGATGGTGAGCAGTCAGAAGCTCCTGACTGGCCAGATCCCACTCAGCCACCCAGTCCACGAAGCTTCATGCAAATAAACCACTTGCAGCATTCCCATTTATCTGTGAGGAAAACGTTCGGTTGCTGCTATCTATAGCAATCATCAGGGAGGTTTCCACAGAGTGATCAGGGATGGCTGTCGACACCCCATGTGCTGCGTCACTGTCCAGCCCAGTACGTGGGCAGGCCTGGCCCTCACAGTGTGTTGCATGTGGAGATTGCCCACTGGTGTGAATTACATGCACACACTTCCCAAATCGTGCACGGACTTACTATGAAAGGAAGTCTATGTGCACTCAGCGGGCAAGAACTATATTAAATGTTCCTCCTACTACCTCACCTAAAGTTAGAGCCACAGGACATTTCTGATAAACACTAGCTACCTGATTAAAGTCTATACACCCTTATCAGTGACCATCAGTTAAAGCCCATAATCAAACGCATCAAGCAGTGAAATCTGAAGAATGGGGAAAAGATAGAAACTCACAGACCAACAGATGATTCATCTTAGGAATCTCTTTCTGACGTGGGGAGGCAGGTAATACTCAGTCTTTCCTCCCCACTCAGATCAGAACTAGACTGTAGGAGTGAAAGGCCCAATAATTGAGTGCTCAGATGCCACCACCTCACCCCAGAGAAGTAGGAAGCTGAGCAGACAGCTCTGTTTAGCAAGAATCAGCAGCAGATTGTCCTGGATTTAAATAAATTGGCTTCATGGAGAGTGGGTACAGCACATGTTCGCACATGAGCATGCCAGCACAACAAGCTGCAGAGCTTAAGGCAAGAAATAAAGTAGTGATAATGCACAGACCCTAACATATCCCTTTCTTTTGGCCAAGATAGGAGAGCTGCCTTGTTTGCATATACCATGTCAGGTCTTTGTGTAGTGCATGGTTTAGATGATAATAACACAAGCCAACTGAGTAAGCCACTGCAAAACCTTTTGGAACTAAGACCGTCATGAATTTATCTTATGCTTTTTTTTTTCCTTTGCTATTTATTATTTATTTATTTTTGGTTTGATCCATCCTTTTACCTATGAGAATAAGAGTATAGTATACAAAAGACTTCCAATTTCTAGGGAGAATTATGATGTCTTTTTCTTTTTAATAGAGATGGCACCTGCCTATAGATACAAGCAAGAAACAAAAGATTGGGAATGCATAGGAAAATCCTTCCTGCAAGGAAAATTTGATAATGGGATATAAGTCGATCTTTCTTCCTGATACAAATTCAGATTTGGTGTCCAGATAGCACTGTCTATGCACGCTATCCTAAGTCCTAAGTAGTGGAATCATCAGAGTTGGGCTTAGCTGACAAAAGCTCAGATGAAGAATGTAACTTACTTGGAGTAGGCAACATTGCCTTTCATCTTCCTGGTTTCAGATTTTACATAGTTTATTAAAAGTCGAGGGGTCATGAGTCTTGTTCAATCAGAGTATTGATCTAAGGAATTGATCCTCTCTGTTTGTTAATGTTGGCCCTTGCCCTGTTTTCTCTAATGGAACAAATGTGGCTCAGGTCGAAATTATTGGTGGACTATATTATAGAAGTAGAAAAACTTTGGTGACTCAGCTGCAAAACTATGGCATGCTGTATGGGACAGAAGGTGACTGCTCTGTAGGATATCACAAGGGTCAAACACGAGGCTGTCTCAAACCACACAAACAACTAGGTGAGGCAAGCAGTAGCCCATGTAGCTTGGCTTAGTCTACTTCCCTTGAGGTCATTGGAGTCCAAGGGGAGGAGCATAATATAGACTGGGGGCCTTTCCCAACATGAAGAGGCTCAGCTTGCAGGAATAAGCAAAATTAGACCTGCATCTGACTAGGCATGGAGGCCAGCTTGGGAAGATGGGAGCAATTGCACAAAGCAAGAGCTTCCATGATTGACCCAAACTTTCACCAATCTCACTCAACCTAGAATTTTATGTTTGCTCAATTATTACAATTATTTGATGATGTTTTGCAGGAAAGATTCTCTTGTTATTTTATAGAGAAATGAGCCCATGGCAGAAGTGGAATATGGTGCAGCCTGATTGTAAGTATAAATGTCGAAAATATGTGGTTGTGAGTCCAGTGAGCAGCTTATCTCACAAAAAGTTGGAGCAGTGATCTTAAATATCAAATCTCTGATCTCTCTAGGAGGAGTGCAATGTATGTATCTGAAAGAGCTCATGGAAAAGCCTCTCATCCTAGAGGGGTGTATGGAACAATTTCCTCTGAGCTTCAAGTGGAAGATAAAATAGAGGAACACTAGGGATGTGGCATATCAGAAATTACCTACTGCAAGAGCAGTGCAAATTTACAGGTAAGGGAGCCAATGAATCACAGAGAGCACACCACAGGCTGTTTTTATTCTATCCGGGTAGCTCAACCCCTTTTAATTGTCTTGGTCAGAACCTTACTATTGACACTTCTAAAGTGCACGAAAATGAAATGGAAACAAGGAAATTTGCCTTTTGGCCCCCTGGCAATAAGTGACAAGGAAGTTTAATTTTGGAGAAACTATTATAGAACCTAGCATTGCACTGGAGACACAGGAGAAACCAGGGCCATTTGCTCAAGGAAACAGGTGTAGAAATGTTCATTGAAACATTGTCGATAATAACTCTAAATTGGAAACAGACTAATTGTCTATCATCTGGCTAAGTGAATTGCATGAATAGTCAATAGAACATGATGTAAGAGTTAAAATAAATAAATCCCTGTGTTTTCAAAGTCATAGTATGGAGTAAAAAAAGCAGTTGACAGAACAGTACTTCATAAAATGTTACTTGAGTAAAATCCTATATTTTATTTATGCAAATATGTGTTTAATAATGGTAATATGCATGCATGGAGATAACAAATTGCAGATAGTGCTTATCTTGAAGGAGGCTGAGAGGTGAATGGGAAGAGAGAGTAAGGGGAGTGTGGGGAACTACAATTATTTCTGCAGTGTTCGATGCCTTCAAAATAACTGAAACAGGTTTTTTAAAATGTCCAGATTTGATTGAATTTGGTGAACAGGTATTCACTGTCATTTTCTACATTATTCTGCAGGTTTCAAATATGCCATTAAAAAAAATTCCAGAAAACAGTGTGTAGGGGGGAGGGAGGATTGCAGTGGAAGATAGAAACATACAAAAAACCAAAAAGGTGTTGGGCAAGAAGCAGAATAAAGTTATTTATGAAGGTCAAAAGACATTGCTTCTGGATTTAGCAATTAGGCCTGGCAAAGAGGATGTCGCTTTTAGAAGAATAGGCTGGAAGGCATTATCATAATAAAAGGTCATACTATTCTTTTTAATGTTGCACTGTAAAATTCATCATTAAATAAGAAAAAGGAAGGACCAATCAAAACATATGTCATAAATGGGATCTTTTTATAGAGCAATCAAATTAAGAAGACATATAAAAGGTAGGAGATCTGTATCAGTAGATTATCAGAGAGGAAATTAGGATTAGAAGAGGGAAATGTATCACAATGATCAGAAAAAGAATGTGTAAAGTTAGTGAATTTAAAGAAAAGTGTATAGACCACCAAAATCTTTTAGGAAAACAAATATATGGAGAGAAAGCAAGCAGAAATGCAGAAGCTTTGCATTTTAAATCAGAAGAGAGGTTAAAGTAGGACAGTACTCTAAGAATTTAAACATATGAGGTTCCAGTTTCCCTCAAAGGTTATACTGAGCCCACATCCCTCCTGTTTGCTTCTCCCCTTTTTGATGACCATTTGCTAAGAAATTACCTGAAAGGCAGTGACTAGTTCTTCCAGGCACAGAAGCACTTGTTCAAGGTGGCTCCGTATTGGAGAAAGATTGGAGAAACCACAAGCAGGAGTGTGTGATGAGACAAAAGGTCATTGGGGGGGGGGGACACGGGAGGTACCAGGGTGCTGGCTGTGAATCCAGGTCATCAGTTATGCCCCCAGCATTGCTCCTCAGAAGACCACAGGTCATTCTTCCTTCATAGGAAATCTATGCTCTAGAAAATTCCCTTGGATTTTTTGCAGTGTCATGGAATTTGTTCATCAGAGCAAAAAAATGCAAGATATATCTAAAGACTCTTTACCACACCAATGGGCAAACAAATGAACAAAAGCCTTAAACCTGTTTTGTTTAGTTTGTTTAGTTAGTGTCCTGTGTAAACCAGCCAGGAAATGCAGAGTTAGGAGGGGTAACCGGCAGAGAAATTTAAAAACCATACTCATCTTCTACGGAAGGGCCCCAGTGTAAGTCCTCTCTGCCTGTCTCTCCACCCTGTGGTCCTGGTGGTTCTTTTTCTA